TCGAAACTCACAATAAACTGAAATCGATCGTTGCCCTTGCAGTAGATGTACCAGACGACGGGTGCTCTACTCATCAGCATGATGTTCAACCTCTGATCGAACCGAGCTTGCTGGGGGTTGAGGTAGTCCACGTTCACTTCCACAGGGATGTATCTGCCCCTGCCGATCTTATGGTGCTGGCCGGATGGCGAGATGTACGGCTCGATTAGCTCCACCACGTGGAAGTACTTGTCGCTGGAGGAAGAAATAAATTATGATAATGAGGGGTTTGGTGAAAATGAAATTTTAAAAAAATAAGTACATAAATTATGATGAGAGGTTTAGTGAAAATAAATTCTCATAATTTGTACAAGTTTATGTCAATTTATTTTATTTCAAAATGCTTACTGTGCTAAGAATTATTGTGTGAAAAATGGTTAGAAAGAAAGAAAGAGTGAGAAAAAGAGAAAGAGAGATAACGCAAAAAAAAACAGAAGAAGCAGAAAAATGGAGAGAGAGAGAGAGAGAGAGAGAGAGAGAGAGAGAGAGAGGAGAGAGAGAGATGAGAAAGTGAAGGAGAAACAGAGCGTCAATTAATAAATCATCCAGCAGGGAGAAAAATAAATTTCAGAACTCCATCTAATTTTTCTTCGGACAATTATTAGAGAGAAAGAAAACAGCACGGCGACGATGATGATGACGACAACAACGATGACGATGATGATGACGATCGTGAAGCGGGAGCATATCAACTATAGAAACTCCACAGAACTCTCATTTACTTTTCGACAATTCCTTTCATATCTCTCTCTCTCTCTCTCTCTCTCTCTCTCTCTCTCTCTCTCTCTTTCTCTCTCTCTCTCTCTCTTACTCTCTCTCTCTCCCACTTAATTCCTAGGCTATTAATCACCTGCATAAACTGGAAAAAAAAAGATAGAGGCAAGGGTAGAATGATACCAAAGAGAAGATGAAGATATGGGGTAAAAATGAGAAACATAAAAAATGAAGGATATATATATATATATATATATATATATATATATATATATATATATATATTGGATTATATATATATATATAATGTTAGTAGCACAAACACACTAAGCACTTGAGGATTTAAAATGAAACATTCACACATATACCTATAATAATATGCGTATATAATTAAATAAATATATACACACATACATATATGTATGTGTATATATATATATATATATATATGTATATGTACATATGTAAATATATATATATATAAGCAAACTAATAACTAATAAACCACTAATAAAGTTGGTAAATGACTTATTAACCCACACAATGAATAAATAAATGTTAAATCCATACTGTATACATGTGTTAATATACCACAGAAATTTATATACTTACATATAATCTATATATATATATGTGTGTGTGTGTGTGTGTGTGTGTGTGTGTGTGTGTGTGTGTGTGTGTGTGTGTGTGTGTGTGTGTGTGTGCGTGTATGTGTGTGTGTTAATTTGTTTCTGTAATTTGATTACACTTCAATACATTGATAGTATATTTGCCTTGATTCAAAAACAAACCTGCCTACCTAAGAGATGAATGAGTGACCCGATGTATCTCTGATGTGACGTGTAAACGCGTGCGTGAGTGTGAGTGAAATACCGCCTACCTACCTACCTACGTGTGTGTATGTTTGTGTGTGTGTGTTATTATAATTATTGTACACACAGCCGTGCATGGTGCGTGCGTGTGTGCGTACGTCTGTATAAATATGAATGTGTGTGTAAATAAATATTGAGGCGGTCCAATGTAGTATATTAAATATGTTGAATTGTTGTTGAGGTCGTTTACCTTTTCACTGCTCCTTCTATTTCATATATTCACGTGCGTGCGTGTACGTGTGCGTGTACACGTGCGCGTGCGCGCGCCTGTGTATGTATGTATGTATGTATGTATGTATGTATGTATGTATGTATGTATGTATGTAGGTATGTATGTATGTATGTATGAATACCTCTATTGTATTATAATTGAAAAAAATTTTTCGAATACTTTTTCAATTTTGTTCCTGAATCTTGTACAAAGAGCACTCTCTACCTCCCTTTATCTTCCTCATTACAATCAATACCATAAACATTAGATCTAGTTTCATTCTCTTGAGAGGATAATATGAAAAAAAGAAAAATAACGAAAACATTTGAAAAGATGAAAAGCTACAAAATAAGTTTTGAAAAGATAAATTTGTTTTGAAATTTAAATAGAAGTAAATAAATTGAGTATGATGATAACAACAAGAGGCAAATGAGAGCAAGGACATTTTTCTTCCCGTAGCACACACCCCACCCATCACATATCATGCAACAGATAGAATGAAGCATGGCGGTACCTAAAAAAAATTTCAATAACTTAATTGCGTCCTTTTTGTTGTTGAACTTTACAAGAAGATAAAACTTCAAACCGAATAATAAAAATAATGAAAACATGAAAAAAAAAACAATAATAACAACAATAATAACAACATAGATAACAATGACAGCAACAAATAAGAACAATTGAAACCTGCTGTGAAGAAAAACAACACGGCGAATGAAAAAATTTCAAACAAAAAGCATGTTGTGGTGTGGGAGTTGGTGGAGGTGATATAGCCATTATATTATTAGAAAGAAAAGTTTAATGACCAGTTTATTGACCAGTTCATTGACCTCTAAAGTTTCCTAGCACCACATTAATCACACCTCCTCATCACATTAATCACATCCCATCACATCAATCTCAGAACATTTCTCGTAGCATTAATTACAACACCTCTTAACCTAACAGTAGACAACATCATTTTATATTGCATAAGAAGAGTAAATTGAAATTCGTATATTTTCATCTTTTTTAACCCTAGCCATCTAACCAACCAACCAATTTTCAAATAAATCCTGGTACTTTTAAATATAATCTAAATATTAACATTTAAGAAATTATACATATATAATATATAATATAACATATACTATATATAATATATATAAAATATATATTCAAATAAATTTTATTCAGCAAAGTATTTGCTGAATAAAGTATATATATATATATATATGTTTGTGTGTATGTATGTTGCATATGTTGGTGTGTATGTATGTATGTATGTTTGTTTGTATATATGTATGTATGTATTTGTATATACTCAGTGATGTATGCATGCATGCATTCCTGATATCTTATCTTTGACAGCATAAACAGCATGAATTTAATAGCTGAAACCATTGTTAGGAGTCGGGCTTAAGAATAATTTTCAAAGAAGAGATGAAGAAACAACTGAGGCAGTGAAAATCAAGTGATAATAATAATAATATAACAATAATAATTACAATAACTATTATTATTATTAGCGAGAATTTAAAAGGCATATACCTACATGTACAACATGCACAATTTATTTACGTACAGCTGAGAATGGCCCACGAAGAGAATGGAAATTTACAGCAGATAAAAAAAGTTATTAAAAAATACAGAACAAATATGAATGACTATAAAAGTGAATGAATGGATGAATGAATGATAGAACTAACGAATGAATGAAAATAAATGAATGAAGGAATGAATGAATGAACTTACTCGGATTGGAGGCCAGTATCCCATTTGAGTTCGCACGAGTCCACTGGCTTTTCTTGCGTTGGTCTAGGCTGGCATACATCTACCTTAGAATCTACCATGTAAAAATAATTTCATTCGTTCATTCAATATTTCATTCATCCATCCATCTATCCATCCATTCATTCATTCATTCATTCATTCATTCATTCATTCATTTATTCATCCATCCATTCATTCATTCATTCATTCATTCATTCATTCATTCATCCATCCATCCATTTATTCATTCATCCAATACAACAAACATTCACAAGTACACTGATTAAATTTAACTCTGCCTTATGTATGTTATCACAATCAATATGATCTCATTGTGTGTGTATGTATGTGCGTGTGTGTGTGTGTGTGTGTGTGTGTGTTTGAAAGTGTAATGTAAGTGAAGCTAACCAATTCCGACAGAAACATTGACCCTGGTGACGTTAATCCTGATGGTGTTGTTGATCTGACCTACATTTCTGGTGACCCACTTTCTCAACTCGTTCAGTGGACTGTGGTTTTTCATTCGGAAGTCAGTGGTGGTGACTTTCTTCATGTTCTCGTCGTTATATCTAACTGAAGTCGTCTCGCTGTGCTGTTAAGTGTTTGTTTGTGTGTATCAGTGTGTGTGTGTGTGTGTGTGTGTGTGTGTGTGTGTGTGTGTGTGTGTGTGTTGGTTTGTTTGCGTGATCACCAAGTCAAAAAGATGTAAAGCATAATTTCGATGAAATCTAACACAAAACAAAAATGATGATGACGACGACGACGATGATGACAAATACTAAACACACAAACTCAAAAGCTAACCGACACCCACCCATCTAAATAAATAATTAATTACAATAACAACAATAATAATAATAACAACAACAGCAACAACAGCAACAATAATAACAACCACAGCAACAATAATAATAATGACAACAACAACAGCAACAAAAGCAGAAAGCAGGTCACCCAGATTAGAATGAATTGCAGCTGACATAACCAGGCCGACACATTAACATATGTTAATGACAGAACATAAACACACATAAATTTACACATAAATATACTACACATACAACATATAAAAAGGCATATACATAGTATATAAGAAAAAGTGCGTATATTAATATATCAAATGCTGTGTGAATAAAATAATGAATGAATGAATGAATGAATGAATGAATGAATGAAAGAAAGAAAGAATTAATGAAAATAAAACAATTGATTAACGAATTAAGTCGGTCAATTAATCAATAAACAGCAGATGACAGAGTAAATATAAATAAGGCAATTAAACTGAACACTAAATATAAACAGTAGTAGCGAGAGAGAGAGAGAGAGAGAGAGAGAGAGAGAGAGAGAGAGAGAGAGAGAGAGAGAGAGAAATAAACTGTCAATCAAATCTAGTAACAACAATTAACAATTTAAATAAATAATAATGTGTGTGTGTGTGTGTGTGTGTGCGTGTGTGTGTGTAACCATTAGCAAGTCACAATAAAATAGCACACAATCGAAAATATATAAATAATAATTATAAATAAAAAAAATAATATAAAACCATAATTATCATTATTATTACGATAACTAATAAAAACCAACGTAAATATTAATAGGAGAGTAGCTGTAGAAATCATGTAGGATGACATCCCATGTTATATCCAGCTTTGAGGCTAGTACCAAGCTTATGTTGCCTGCGAAGGCTGCAATATAAAAAAAAATGAATAAAATCAATTTTAATTATAATTAAATATAATTTATTTTCTAACTGCCATTAATTATAACTGCTATCAGTATTGTGATCATCGTTATTATTGTAATTATTATTACTATTATTATTATTATTATTATTATTATTATTATTATTATTATTATTATTAATGTCTGTGTGTATAATATATATGATCAAGACATGATTTTTTATTATTGTCAACATCAACATAACATCATATTATTATATCATTGCATTGAGCAGTTTTATCAGTATTATGTATTAAATTATCATTAAATTGGTATTAAATTGAGATATTTTGAATTAGGATTATTTATTTGCGAAAACCTAATTCTACATCTTAAGCCAAGTAGTCAAAGAGCAGGGCAAGCAGGGATGGATCTAGATTTCTAGTTTTCTAGATCCATTCCACATGCAAGATGGATTATGTGCTGCTTGTAAATTGTAACAGGCAAGCCAAGGCAGCAGTTAACAATCCTAAGTGCGATGAAATTTATCACAACTGAGGCAGAGAAATGTTGAAATTTTGGAGAGGATAAAAAAGAGAGGGTAGAAGGGAGAGTAGAAGAGGGAGAGAGAGAGAGAGGACAGCTTGTAGCATTTAGCAGGATGGTAACATGTTTTTTTAATCCATTTTCAAAGAGTTATTCTGTGCAATAGTTTTGGTAACTATTATTACGATCAATCAAATACATCTTCATCATCATCATTGTCATCACTCACTGCCATCATCATAAACAACGTTATCACTAGTAACAAAACGATAGAGAGAGAGAGAGGAGAGAGAGAAGGGGGGAGAAACTGGTTACGTCACATACACACAGAGAAGGAAAAACTGTCAGTGAAGTCGCCAGCTAGGAAATCTGGATCAGGGGAAAAGAGTTCAGACTGTAAAAGAAGTAAGTTAAGTAAATAGGTCGGTTTTCTTTCAACCAATTAGCATAGCTGAATCAGAAGAGAGAATGGAGTCAACGAATACTATTGTAATGTAAGGGCAAGTATGTGATGTTATGTATGTTATGCATGTGGCGTGATGTGATGCTATGTGGTCATGTTATGAAGTGTTATCGGAGGTTTGAGGAGATGTTATTTTAAGTGCTAATCTATTTATTCAAAGGTTCTTACAAGTGTCAGTTGAGTCAGCCACAATATTAAAAACAGACCCAACCACACATGTAAGCACGCACATACACACGCACACATCAGGACTGCATCTTCGTGAACGAAAATACTGGGTCATTGATGTGACCCCGTGTGGGTAAAAAGTCCAATTCTGGACAAACATCGACGATCACAGACTACTCCATCGAAGACCCACACCCCTCACAGACTCCATCGAAGACCCACACCCCTGTGACCCCTGTGCCGCTCGCATCCTGGGTCACTTGTTTCTACCGAGCTTTCGTATGTGGCGTCGATAAGCTGTCCGTGTTTCACAATCACATAGCAGAACACACGCACGCACGCACATACACACACACACACACACACACACACAAAGAAACAACAAATAATTTTAAAAAAATAAATAAAACAAATAATTACTGAGAATGACATGAGTGAGTGAGGGAAAGAAAGGAAAAATGAAGAAATGGATGAAAAATAGGGTGGGTAGAAGAACAGCTAATAAAAAACACATAAATGACGAATGTATGACAAACGATAGAATGAATAAAAGATTTACTGAGTGAATAAACAAACAAACAAACAACAAATAAAATCACAAATAAATGAACGAACGAACGAACGAACGAACGATTATAGAGCGAATAAGCAAACGAACGGATAGACAAACAAACAAAAACAAAAAAGTCAACGAATGAATATACTGATGAATGGATGAATGGATGGATATATGTATTTATAACGAAAGCTGAAAGAATGTTTAAAAAATATAGAGGATGATGACGAGCATTAAGACATGTAAACAACTGCCTGAACTGAACAGTGAAGAATGACTACGAACCAAAAAAACTGTTTGCAAGAAAAAACAATATGGTTATAGCAATAGCATGATGGTATGTATAAAGATTAGAATGGTGATGACGATGATGAAGATGATGGATAAGATGAGGATGATGAAGACGATGATTGTGGAGAGAGAGAGAGAGAGAGAGAAAGAGAGAGAAGCGATGATGACAACGACGACGATGACTAAATAGATGATAGATGATGAAAACAATGATTGTAGAAACGATTAAGATACTATGTTGTTAATGATATCAATAGATGTGACGATGGTGAATACAGAAAAAACACACACACACACATATTATAATATTTATATACACACGAAACGCGCAAGCAATCTATTAATAGAATAATCAGAAACAAAAACTACGAAACTCTGTCGAAAATTAAAAGCTTCAAGGATAGCCAACTAACGCAACTTCAAATTTACAAGTGATAACAACAATAATATTAACAATAATAACAATAATAACAATAATAATATTAACAATAATAATAATAATAATAATAATAATAACAATAAAAATAATAATAATAACAATAGCAACAAAAAATCACACACACAACTTCTACCACAGAATAGTCATTAATCATTTTGTAAGAAAACCGTCAATTATAACAACAACGAACAGACTATGCAGTGAAAACAAACCAGAAATAACAACGTTGAAAAAAAGATATGGAAGTATGGATGAACGAATGAATATATGAATGAATGAATGGGTGAATGAATGGGTGAATGAATGAATGAATGAATGAATGGATGAATGAATGAATGGATGAATGAATGAATGATGGATGAATGAATGGATGAATGAATGAATGAATGAATGAGTGAATGGGTGAGTGAATGAATGAATGAACAAACAATAAAAATGAATAGTAATAATAATATTAATAATAGTAGTAGTGATATGATGTAATTTAGAATGGTAACAGAGGATGATTACAAGAAAGATTACAATAATGTTGATTTCACATAATAATGGCTATACTTACATAAATACACACACATGCACACACACACATAAGCACAACACATACATTCAGACATACATACACACACAAACAAACAAACACACATATACAAACAAACAAACAAGAGCCATCTGTCAGTCAACAAATGGTAAATGAACTTAACTGATTTATTGAAATGTCAGAGATGGAGAGGAAGAGAAAAATTAATTTAAAATAGATATATGGCAACAATATATAAATATTCATTATGGCTATTGCAAATATTATTATTATTATTACTACTGCTACTATAACGCATATAAAAACATTTAAAAGGAAGTTAAAAATTATAGCCAGAGTTAATTAAAACTTAGTTAGTATATATATAAATATATATATTTGTGTGTGTGTTTGTGTGTGTATGTGTGTGTAACAATAGATGTAGCAAAAATAGTGGCAGCAGCAGCAGTAGTAGAAGGAATAGCGGTAGTAGCAGTAGCAGCAGTGGTAGTAGTAACAGTAGTAGTAGCAGTAGTAGTAGTACTAGTTTATGGTGTTATCACAATCATTTCATTACACATCATAGCAGATTAATCATTTGAAGTTTTTTTTCAACAAAAAAAAGATTAAAAAGACATAAAGAATAAAAATATATTTTAAAAAATCCTTGAACAATTTAAAAAATTTGAGAAGTTAAAAATCTCTGATAAAAAAAAAAACGAAAGATTTTGAGGAAAACATTTTGTTCGTTGCAGTTGCAAACATTCACACGCACGTACACACGCACGCACACATGCACGCACGCACGCACGCACGTATAAACACAAGTTGCATTATTTTATCACCATAATAAATAACCACATTAAATCTTATTTAAAAAAAAGTTTATTAATGGAAAAATTAGTTTTCTTGCATGCATGTGCGTGTGTGTGCGTGTATGTATGTGATTGTAAGTATGTGAACCAATCGCAACTGTCATGTATGTATGCTTGCATGTATATAAAATACACATGTGAACATACGTTTGTGTACAAACAGAGAATTTACACACAGTAAGAGATGTATATGCGTGTACAAAACATGTGGGTACACAAACTACCATGGTATATACACGGCTCAAGTGTACTGCAATCTATGATTTTATGTTGATGTATAAGGACAGTGTTGCAATGTAATGATGTTTTCATTCTAAACTGCTTGAATGCACGCATATATCTACGTAAATCTATGTTTATCTTACTTCTATCTAGATATCTATTTGTCATTGATGTTATTGTTACGGTTCTATCTGCTGTTGTATCCAACATCAATCCATTTTAACAGTAACAGATACATTTGATGTTGTCGTTTGTTAGCCTAGAGATAAATAAATACGATGTTGATGTCATAGCGCTTTACTGATATCTATTTAGTATATGAACATCATGTTTACATACGTGTGCGTGTGTTTGTGTGCGTGAGTGTTCGTGGGCGTGCGTGTGTGTTACATACATACACATAGGCGGATAAGGGGAGATTTTATTGTAGGGAATAAAGTAAAGTTAAATAGATATTCAACATCGGGGATGAAAGTACAGTTATATAACAAGAACCATAGAAACGCCATGATGATGATGGTGATGATGAAGAAGAAGAAACAGATGATGATGAAGATGATGGCGGTGGTGGTGATAATGATGTTAGAGATGATAGGTTTGATGATGTCGACGACGATGATAGGGAAGAGTGAGTAAAAAGTTATCAGCAATGATTAGAACAGGGAATCCTATTAAACTGAAGATGATAATTATAGTTAATAATGATGATGAATGAAGAAGCGTTGGTTACATATCATATCATTCAAAATAGCAAGATCATCACCACCACCACAATTGTTGTCATCTCACTCATTATCACAACCCCCTACACTACACCATTCAACACATCATTAAAACGACACTAACTCAAAACACAACAAACAACCACACACACACACACACACACACACAAAAAAAACATCTAAAAACCTCCGACACAAATCACACCAGACACCACTAACTTTGATTCGTTCGCGGTCGAACGTCGACGACAACCACAGGCGACCACGACCACGACGACGCAGATGGTGACATAGCAGGCCGATTTTTCATATAAACAACGTATACCTCCTGAGGAAAACTGGCATCCATACACGAGCGATCCTCGCTGTAAGCAAACAGCTTCATGTAGTGGTCATTAGTGGCCGTAGAAGCTAGCGCTGTCGCCTTGCCCGTTACGTTCTTGACGTATTTGTAGTAGGAGTCGTTAGCGGCCACGAAGTCTGCGTGTGTCGTCCGGTGTAGACTGCATGAATACCAGTCGGTGCTTCCTTCTGTTGGGAGAGATGGTGAGATTTGGTGAGAATCGGGCTTCGTATTATCATAATGTATCACAGTATTAATATGCACTATCAGTGTTAAAGGTGAAATGAATATTCAAACATATTAATCATGTAAAATTCCTCTCATTGTAATATTCATCAGTGTATGGGACATATAATGATTCTGGAAAATACAAAAACAAATCTGTAAAACTATACAATAATGACAACAGTAATAATAATAATAATAATAATAATAATAATAATAATAATAAATAAAACCGTCATAAATTAATCAAACCAAATCAAAGATTTATGCCATGAGGTGCCTACCCACAGCTAGAAGATTGTTCCAAAATATGTATGTACGTGTATGTATGTATGCGTGTGTGTGTATGTATGTGTAAGTATGTGTATGTATATGTGTGTGTGTAAATGTATGTATATGTGTGGGTATAATGAGTGTATATGTATCTATAGGCCACTATATGGGATTAAAAAGTTTTGTTACATGCCGTATCAAGTTTCAAATTATATGCATGGATTCTATCACTCACACTCGCGCGCACACATGCACGCAGACAAAAACACAAATATACACAGACATTCACACATCCATTCGGTGTGTGAATCTACAACATGTATATGTTTATATGTATATATTCTTAGCATATATGTTGTATGTACATGTACCCAAGAATATATGTATGAGTATATATATATATATATATATATATATATATATATACATATATGTATGTTGTTAATAGACTACAATTTTTACAATATTCTATAAATTCTACCGAATGTTTGGCGTTAATATGTTTGTTGTTCGTTTATGTATGCAGGTATGTTTAATTGTGTTTGTGTGGATGATATTGAATGCAATATTATCTGCACTGAGTTGTTGTTGTTGTTGTTGTTATAATGAGAAATAGGTTGGTGCAATATGATGACGTTGATGTTGTTTTGTAAATATAGCTTCTACTCATCTTATCTTACTACGCAGCTGTTGTTGATTTGTTTGTGCCCGTATGTGAGCTTTGCATATACGTTTGTATCTTTGCATGTATGTTTCTTTGCATGTATGTTTGTTTGTATGTATGTAAGCAAATATTTGTCTGCTTGTACGAATGGCTTGAGTGTGTGTGCTCATGTGCTGGTAGGTTTAAAACAGCAACAACATAAAAAAAATAATATAGGTTAGATGCAAGCAAACAGGTAAACAAGATATGGCACGGCATCAATTATATATAGCGTGAAAAAAGTGCAATAAAAAAATGTAACGAAGCAACATATCACACAGTGAGTAACTTAAATCAAATCAAACCAAAAATGCATGTGTGTGTGTGTGTGTGCGTGTATGTGCGTGTGTGTGTGTACAAAATACAGCTTAACAATGAACAATAGTTATGTTAATTTTTGATAAATATGAGTTTGTATGCAGCCAATACAATGATGTTTATTGCTTCGCCAGTAATATTAAAAAATCTTAATGTATTGTAACCACGTGTGTGTGTGTTTGCTTGTGTGTGTGTGTACACGCAAGCATGAATAAATGAATGCCTATCGCTTTTAATGCTGATAATTTTTTGAAATTTTGAAATTATAAGAATTCATTGAGCATTAGACCTTTAACACACACACACACACACACACACACACACACACACACACACACACACACACACACACACACACACACACACACCACACACACACACACACACACACACACACATATATATATACACGCACACACGTTATTATACAAAGAAAATTTAATATTATAACATCATACATACATGAGAACAATAATTTATATTAAGAGATAATTTTTCATGTAGTTAGGGTCATGGAACGAAAAAACGAAAAAAAATTTCTTATGTATGTATGTATGTATGTATGTATGTATGTATGTATGTATGTATGTATGTATGTATGTATGTGTGTATGTATGTATGTATGTATGTATGTATGTGTGTATGTATGTATGTATGTGTGTATGTATGTATGTGTGTGTGTATGTATGTATGTATGTATGTATGTGTGTATGTAAACATGAAAACAAAAAAAATGGCATCCAGGTCACTTGTAATAAATGAGTTCCTGTATTATTTAGAAAATAATTGGGATTTAATTGAGAATGAAACGTTTATTAATAATATATCTGTATTTTATATTCATGAGGATATTGTAAATGCAATTAAATTGCTAAAAAGTTAATTAAATAATTTTAAAATTGAAAAAAGTGAAAAATTGCAGTCGCGGGGTAACATGAAAATTGAGAAAATATTGGAATGTATATCGTTAATTAAACAGTTGAAAGAAAACAAATGTTGGGACAAATGTCCATTATTTGTTAGTTGTAATTTAAATAAAGTCCCAAAGTCTGAAAATTTGTTAACATTGAACTTTGAAACTATCAAACTAGAATTAAAAGATATATTGCACAAACAACAGGTGCAATTTAACAAAGTTATTGAAACTGTTGAAAGTAATAAAGCTGATATTATTTCATTAAAAAACGTTATTAAAACTGCTGATATTAATAAACCAGAAGTAAATACATTGAAAAATAAATTAAATTCTAAGTGAGTAAGTGACTGCAGTACTGAAATGACAAACAAGGAGGGACAAAAGAAAAATGTCAGTAGTTCTCTGTGGTCAGACATAGCAAAGTCAGAAGACAACGGTACCCCGTTCTCAAATGTAAACGGAAAAAAATCACGTCAAAATAACAACAATTGTGAGAAACAAAACAACTCAGGAGAAACCAGCAACAACCCAATAAACAACAAACAAACTGGAGAAACCAGCAACAACCCAACAAACAATAAACAAACTGGAAAAAAGACAGCTATGAAAATAATCGGTAAAAAAGTTTCAAATGATTGCAAACTGAAGGCAGATAAAATCTTAATGAAAAAATCTGTGTTCTGTTTAAGCAATGTCAGCAAGTGCCACAGAAATGATGTGATGGCCTACCTAACCGACAATGGTATCCATGTTGTTTCCTGTTATCCCGTACTCAAACAATTCAATAAAATGGCACCAGCTTCTACAGCCGACGTCAACAACAATAATAATAGTCAAACTGAGAATAAAAAAACAGATGAAGAAGAATCCAGTACGTTTAGAGTTTGCATCGATAGCTCTGATTCTAAGAAAATGAAAGACCCTGACATAATGCCCCAGCACATTATAGTACGCGAGTGGCAATTCAATAAGAAACCAGCAACAATTGTCGATCAAACAAAAAAAGATGGATAAACAACATGTTGATAATGATGAGGACAGCAGTGATGATGAAGAAAAAGACAATTTAAACCCCAAGCAAACTAAATGTAAAAGGTATGACAATTTTAAGACGTTGAATGATGAATATAAATTAATAAATAAAGATCTTGATAGCAGTATGTTTTTCAACTTAATGCAATTGAACATCAAAAATCGTCATGACAAACACGGTGGAGGGGTTGGTTTCTATGTCTGTAATGATTCTACCTTTCGAATAAGAGAATATTTCGAACAATTAAATCAACAGCAACAATTCTTGAATATTTAATCAACTTATCATTTGACAAGGGCATCTTTCCTAAGTGCTTCAAGACATCCAAAGTTGTTCCAATTGCAAAAGAAAGAGGTAACTCAGAGGTTAAAAACTTTCGACCTATATCTTTGTTGCTTGTTTTTTCGAAGATTATTGAAAAATTGATGCACAGTCGTTTGCTCAAATTTTTTGAAAAAAATAACATCCTTTCTAATCATCAATTTGGTTTTCGAAAAAACCACTCAACTGAAATGGCAATACTGGAACTGATTCAAAAAATTGGAGTCGCAAGTGAAAAGAAAAATTATGTAATTGGAATATGTCTCGATCTGTCAAAAGCTTTTGATTGTATTGACCATTCGATTTTATTACACAAGCTTCATCACTATGGTATAAGAGACTCCAGTTTGACTTGGTTTCGTAGCTACCTTTCATCAAGATATCAATTCGTTACTTGGAACAATAAAAATTCAAGTAAATTGATCAACAAAATAGGCGTTCCGCAGGGCAGCATTTTGGGACCATTGTTATTCATAGTGTTTGTGAACGATCTACCGATGGCCTCGAAATTTTTTAATTATGTTTGTTTTGCTGACGATACAAATGTGTTCAGCAAAGGAAAAGATATTAACATGCTCATCAAATATACAGAAGAAGAAATTAAACATGTTAATTCTTGGTTCTCACTAAATAAACTTACTTTAAATAGTTCTAAAACGCAAATGATAATCTTTGGACCAACTCAATATTTAAACTACAAAGAACCTTATAAAATTAAAATAAATAATATTGATATCTATGAAAATAAAACAGTTAAATTTCTGGGCGTTCATCTAGATCAAAAGTTAACGTTCCGTGATCACGTTAATAGTGTTGCAAACACACTTGCCAAATCAACTGGTCTGATGAACAAGGTGAAATTCTACCTCACAAAAAAGTGTCTGAATTTGTTGTATCACTCACTTTTCATGCCACACGTGATTTATTGCAACATTGTCTGGGCTGGCACGTATCCTTCAGTCACGGATCCGGTTAAACTTATGATGAAAAGGGCCGTCAGAACCATCACCATGTCAACGATGAGGTCTCATACCAAGGAGTTATTTACGACAACCAATAATCTTAATTTTAATCAATTGAATATTTATCGTACTTTGATTTTGTGTATAAGCAGCTTAATAATCAATTGCCTAATACGTTTGCTAATTATTTTAAACATGCTAACAGTCATAGGATGTCTAATTATTTGCAATCGAATGAATCAAAAACTAACATTTTACATTCGCATGTAATCTGTAAGGGTCCTAGGACCTGGAATAACATTATTAAGAATGGTTTTCAATATAAGGCGAAATCGGCTACTGATTTAAAAAAAAAAGTTAAATCGTTTTTAATAATTAACAATTATTAAAATTATTAACCTTATTAATAATGTAGAGATGTTTGTAAAATCACTGAACATTTAATAAATTATATAAGAAATGTATTTACTTCATGAAATTTATGTTCTCTATCTATAAACAATTTCTGTTGATATTTTTAATGCGATTATAATTATCTATGAAACATTATTTTTTAGTTAACTACCTTTTGTTTTATTATCTGTTATTAACATACTAACAACTAACAATATTTGATATTAACCACAAAACTCTGAACATATTTGTCTAGGTGGCTGTGCTAGATGAGCCCATTATGGGCTCGATCACATTCATCCAGTCTCTTATTTATTATCCTTAATTTTGAGGAGCAAATAAAATTTAGTTTCGTTTCGTTTCGTATGTATGTATGTATGTATGTGTGTATGTATGTTTGTATGTATGTATGTATGTATGTTTGTATGTACGTATGTATGTATATATGTATGTATATATGTATGTATGTATGTTTGGATGTATCTATAGATACAAAACAAATTACTAAATTAAGAAAACATGAGTTGTCATCATCAGAGCAGAAGTGCATAGAATAAAAAATGGAAAAATTTTAGCTGAAGTAGTAGTAGTTGCTGCTGACATAACGTAGTAGTAGTAGTAGTAAAAGTAGTAGTAGTAGTAGTAGTAGTAGTAGCAGTAGTAGTAGTAAAAGTAGTAGTAGTAGTAGTGGTAGTAGTAGCAGTAGCAGTAGTAGTAGTAAAAGTAGTAGTAGTAGTAGTGGTAGTAGTAGCAGTAGTAGTAGTAAAAGTAGTAGTAGTAGTAGTTGGATATATATAGCAACACTTAAAAATAGAGTTTTTCATTCAATTATCTATCTGTAAATAAAATAACTCAGCAATCTATCATGAGCATTTTAATGACAATTGATACTTCGCTCCGATACAGATATAGATAATAGATAGAAAATAATAATACTAATTATTATCAATGGCAGTAATGGCAGAAGCACCTATGTTATAATAATGATAGTAGGAGTTATTATCTTAAAAGTGTGATAAAACAACGAAAATGATATAATATCATGATACATACTTATTTAGCACTCGAATGATAAGATATCACGATAGGATATCCTGACAGCTAGCACTCGAACGAAAGGATAACTACCAGTATTTTTTAATGAAATTGTTACAAATGATACCAATGTATGTCGTAATGAAGCATATTTAGTTGAATCACAGTATAACACAATGCACAACAAGTCAACAATCAAAGTTGGGTCAGCAACAAACCAATATAGGTCATCAAAACAACATAAACAACAAAAGTGTCACAAATACACACACGCAGAGAGAGAGAGGTAAAGAAATAGAGAGAGGGAGAGAGAGAGAGAAGAGAGATAAAAAGAGAGAGAGAAAACTACAACTACTACAAACAGAATATGCACAAACAAACATATTATCCTATCTATCAACCTTTAGAACATATCATTTGTTCATTCATTTATTCATTCATTCCTTCATTCATTCATTCCATAACAACATGTGATAAACTTTGTTTACAAAACGACATAACTTAATAACAAGGTCGAGCTTGGTTATAAAGTAATAACAAACAAACGCGCGCGCACGCACACAAAAACAAACACACACAGTCACACACAAACAAACAAATACACACACACACACACATACAAACAAACACACACACAAATACACACACGCGCGCACGCGCACGATGCCATACAAGGATGCGCACTGAAGGTAGAGAAAGAGGAGGAGGAAGAAAGAGAGGGAAAAGAGAGAGAACGAGAAAGAAAATGACAAGAAAGAGAGAGAGTGCCAAATAGAAGCGCCAAATGCTTAGCAGCAGCAACAACAACAACAAAACAACAACACACGGTCAAGAAGATAGCTGGACATAATATTTCTACAGCTGCTGAACCCTGGACAGCATGAAAAATGAATAAACGGATGGATGAATGGATGGATGGATGGATGGATTGATAGATGGATGAATGGATGGATGGATGGATAGATGGACGGATAAATGGATGGATGGATAGATAGATGGACGGATGAATGGATGGATAGATGGATGGATGGATGGACGGATGAATGGATGGATAGATAGATGAATGGATGGATGGATGGACGGATGGATAGATGGATGGATAGATGGATGAATAATCAAAATGAGAAATGACTAAACGGATAGATAAATGAATAGATGGATAGATGGACGGACGACGAACATCGTTGAAATGAATAAACAGATAGAAGCATTGACGGATAGATGGACAGATAGATGAATTTATATACTGATGGATGGATAGATGGATGGATGAAATGGATAAACTGATAGATAGATACATGGATAGATTAGATGATGAATTAGATAGATGAGGTATAGGGAGTTTGGCCTAATTTCATGTTTCAGAAAAAAATTTTTTTGTTTTTTCACCAAAAAATAGATGGCAAGGTGATAAGGTATTACAAATAAAAAGATGAAAACACAGCACCCTTTCATGGCTAATAACTTAATAATTATGCAAAAAAGGTTCAACAAAATTTCTCTATTTTTAACTTAAAATCTCCAAAAAACTCATAAACAACAAAACTTCAATATTTTTAATCCAACATGGAAAAAAACACGTACACACACACATGTATATACACCACGCACACACACGCACGCAGATAAGCACACACACACACAAATAGTAAATTTTCATATTTACCAAAATTTCATTATACCCTTGTGTGTGCGTGTGCGTGTGTGTCTGTGTACGTACGTGTGTATGTGTGTTTGTGTATGCACGTGTGTGCGTGCTTGAGTTTAAAAATTTGCTACGTTAAATATTTCACCATTAAATTTAGCTAGGGACCATGAACGGACTCATTCGAATTCCATTTGAATTTCGAAGTTAATTCTAACTCCGATGACGAACGTTATTAACTTTTGGGGTTACTTTTTTACATACTACCACTAGTAAAAACCGAAAGTAGTTGTATAATAATAATAATAATAATAATAATATATAACAATTCTTTTCAAAAAATTACTAAACATTTACAACAACAGAAAAAGAATGAAAATAAGAAGAACACCATTTGAAATATGAAAGATTTAATCAAAAACAAATAAATAAAAACAACACACGCACACACACACACACACACACGCACACATACACAAGCACACACGCACACACACACACATACAAAAAATATAGCCGCATATTTTATTAATTGGATAATGTTTTGCTCAAATGAGTTATATGGAAAGAAGAAGACGTAGAATTATGAAGAAAAAAAATTAAAATGAAAAAATAAGCTAAATGT